TTCTTTTCATTGAATCCACATATAAATACCCCCCTTCCCTTTTGAAAGTTCTTCACTTTCCAAATTTCCAGCCATTTCACCTCTCTCTCTCTCTCTCTCTCTCTCTAATTTCATCACTTTTCAACCGATTCCATTTCCTAGCAAAAACTCAAGGACTTTTGCTGTTCTTGAAGACCTGTTCGTGTCTTTTATCAAGAAAAGGTATGTTTTTAAAGCTGTTCTATTTCCTTTTAGATATTCGAAAGTCGTTATTCTTCTCTGTACTTTATTCTTTAAGTAAAAATTTTGGGATTTAAAGGGGAGAGATTATTCATCAAAGACCAACCTGTGTCTTCGTTGGGGATGATAAATCTGTGACCCAAGTTCTCTAAATCTCTAAGAAAGAAAGAAAAATTCCTTGCATGCGAGGTCCGATCACATTTTTGGATGATAGGTCTTGCATGCAACTCTAATCGGATTTATCCCTTTGAAAACTTGTTGGAATCGGAATATATTTTTGTTTTCTGGAAGTTGTTCAAAGATGGTAGTTTTGTGTTAGACTCTTTTTAATTCTTGGAAATATTGAGCTACATGCAATCGGTGATGAAGGCGTGTGGCTCAAGAATTGTGGAGTATTCTTGAAAAAAGTGTTAAACCCACTCAAAATCTCTTGTTTTTGGTAATTGGCGGTTGCCATCATTTGTTTTGGGATGACATTTAATGATGTCATTATTTGGATTTTTGGAARGTTCYTHYTTAATAAATAATTAAATCGGCTTTATTTTATAAAAACACTTGATGACCTTGCATTTAGAACAATCTTGCTCTACCTTAGCCAAGGAAAACCGTAAGTAATATAGCGCTGGTTGGTCTGTCAGGAAGTGCGAGCGAGCATAGCAAGTCCTTAAGCAATCATTCGGATAATCGCAAAACAGGTGAGTTCTCACGGCCCCACTTTTAATGCTTTTTATATTTTTGGGGGAAGAGCATGAAATTGAGCAAACTTTGCATGTTTATGAATATGAAATATTGGGACTAAAGAGCTGTTCAGTCGATGCTTTACTCGAAATCATTGGGCTAAGGAACTGCTTAGTCAAGTTTTACTTGGAACCTCTTGGGCTAAGGAACTGCTTAGTCGGGTTCATTATGTTTTGTTTTGGAAACTGTTTCTACACTTAAGATAAATGCTAAATTGATGCGCTTGAGAGTATATGTTTCCAAATAAAAGTCCCCGTC